GCCCCGCACCTGGGGGCCGCCCCACCCGCGGGCCCAGCCGGCCGCTCATGTCCCCGGGCGCCGCGCCGCTCGCGAAGGAGGAGGAGGAGGAAGAGGAGGAGGATGGTGCGCGGGGCCCGGCGCTGAGCAATGGAAGGAGTCCTGTACAAGTGGACCAATTACCTCACCGGTGAGCGCCGGGGCCGGGCTGGGCACAAAGTAGGTCCTCCTCCCCCCGGCCCCGCGCCCCCGCTCCGCTGCCCGGAGCTGCGGGGGCTTCTCGCTCAGTCCCGGGCCCCGCTGGAGAGGTGCAGGACGGAGCCAGACCCCTGTTGCCGGGGCAGCGGGAGGCGAGAGGAGCTCAGGGTCTGGGCCTAACGCGGCTCACAAGTCTGGAAGACCTGGCCTACACCAGGGCTCCCCTGCCTCGTTTAGACTGGAGGCAGCTAGCTGCTTTTCTCCTGAGGCACGAGGTTCTCTGGGTGGTTATGATGCCTTTGATTAGACCAACTAAATCATTGGGAAAATTGTTCGTTGCCAGCTTTTCTGGGCACAGACACCCTTCTTCAGGCGTAGGGAGGGTCTGGTGGTGGCATGTGTTGTCCATGGGGAATAGACACCAACATGCAAAATGCAAATGCTTGGCAGCAAGGATCAGTGGGGATAGGAGACCACAGTGCCCTAGGGGTGAAGTTTGGTGCCCAAGGCAAAGCCTCCAGCGGCAGCCCACCCTCACCCCACGTGCTGGTCTGGAGGGCACATCCACTCCCATGCTTGCCCGGGAGTGCAGCAGCAGCAGCAGGAGTTGCCCTTCCCCTGTCCCTGCATCTGCACCCCCCACCCCCTCACGCACACAAACAGCTGTTCATGGCTCTGTCCTGCACCCCGCCCCAGCTGGGCAGCGCCTGTCTGTGCCCCTTCGCTTCACCACCTGGGGTGGTCGCCCCGCTTGCCTTGCTACAGCACTGGGAGACAACAGGTGTGGGGCAGGTAGGTGAGGGGGAAAGGGGGCAGGTTGAACTGGTGACGGTGTAGCTGGTAAAAATGTAGAGAGGTTATCAGATGGCAGGCAGCTTATAATGTGCCATTAATCCAATGTCTATATTTAGTCCAAAAGGAATCAAAACTCATGGAAGAGGCGATTATCTTTTATTAGACCATCTAGATATTTGCAAAATAATGTTTTTACTTGCAGGCTTTCAGGCACACTCATCCTTTATCAGGCCTAGGAGAATGCAAAGGTTGCAAAATTTCTAGGTGGAAATGAAAATTCATATTTCACAGGAGAGCTGAAGGTGGTGTAAAATCTCTTGGTTGGAATAGTTCATCCTGTGCAAATTTGGCTCAGATAAAAGTTGGAACAGTTTTTTTTTACCTTGGATTTGTCTGGTGGGAAGTAGGAAATTGTTTCCTTCTAGTTTATGATGTTTTGTATTTCACTGGAGAGTGGGGAGATGGATTAGTCCATGATTTTTTGTATCCATTAGATTTATGAAGTAAAGTTCATAGGATTGTCTTCTCTTGAAAAGTACTCAGAAAGCCCACAGCAGGTCAGAGTGCTTTTAATGCATTCTGGGCTTTGACTGGAAATCTCTGGGTTTAGCCTGTGAATTGTGTTTGTGCACCTAATATCATGTGGCATCCCATGAAAATGTCTCAAAGTGTCCCAGGGCACTGCAGCACCCTGGCTGAGAATCACTGGGACTAGACTATCCTTCCTTTCACAAGAACGAGGTGTTACAAACAATTTATTGCATGCAGCCATGTTATATTTTGTGAAGTTAAGCTAATTTACATCGTGCTAGTTGGGCTTTCGGAGAGGTAGATGTTCCTCTCTAAACCCCTCCCCCTCCAAAAAAGAGTTGACTTTGGCCACAGTTCATATGCCTGTGAGACTATGTCAGTTGAGCAAGTGGAATAAAATTAGTAAAATAAAGTGCTAAGCCATACAGCAAATGAAACACTTGTGTAGTTCTGGGAGGTACTTACAAGTTTTTACTAACAGTTTTAACTTATAAACGTTTTAGCAATGAATTATTTGAGAAAAAGATATTGACATTAAAAATTTGTTTTTATAAGAGCCAGAGAAAGAAATGGAATAAATGTATGCATTTGCTGTCTGTAAATCTGTTATATTTAACTTTGGTTTTGCTTTTTCTGGGTTTTTTTGGTTGTTTGTTTTTACAGAACTACCCCAGAGCCAGTAATGGACAGCATATCCCTTCAGTGTTGGAAAGGTTTCCGTTTTGCCAGTGCAACAGGACTAATTTTCCCCTTGAAGCCTATCAGTGTTGGATTGCACAAATGCTTAATCAGGCCTGCTGTTTAACTGCAGTGACAATGGCTTTCTTTTGCCCTCTTTTAGTCTGTTCTTTTTTTGAGCTGTTTTGATTCCCTGAATTCAGTTTTGTGTGAGGAGTTATAGAACTTAAAATATCAGAAATTGTAAAGTGCCTGTGTCCTCCACATTTTGCCTTTGTCCATGGTAAAAGAGCATGATAGGATATTTAAAAAACAACAACAAAAAACAAAAAAAATCAGCATATAGTTTTGTCAAATGTTTGAGGCTGTCAGAGTTGTCTGACCTTTTTCTTTACAACACCCCAGGCTCCCTCAATTCATTCATGTCAACTATGGTGTAAATCTGCCTCCTACTGTAAACCAAAAAGTTTTCGTTCCCTTTTAATGTTTAAAGATATGCTAGGCATGACTTATTCAGCACCCTCATAGCAGCTGCTTTTGCATTCTTAGAACTGCTAACCCAGTAGTGGTGCTCTAAGCTGGAGCTTGACCTCAGATCATATAAATAAATACTCTACCCCTGAAGAGGCTTTGTAGTTGTATTTTGGTTCATGGTGTTTCTATTCTTCTAGCAAGGATTAACATCCTTCACAAGTATAGGGGTTTCACTGGCATATAGCAGGGCAAATCTAATATGTTTGTATTCTGTGGTAAGAGAAAAGTTATACCATTATCAAGTGTTAAATAGTTGTCATCCTTATTCTGCTTCTTTATGATGAAGTAGAGGAAATGTCTGTCTTTAAATTAGTTGGATAGAGAGAACTTCTAATTTTAATTAATAGACAAAATAGTAGTTATTTTCTGTTACCACTTAAAAAAAAATCATGTTACAAGGCTCTTTACCAATATAGTAATTATAATATTATTATTATAAGCACTCTTGAGTTTTCCTGCAGGAAGCGTTCTTGAGATATAGTCCATTTTTAACAGATACCATCAAACTTAAAAAACAAAACAAAAACCCTTTCAAAATAGATTTTAACTTTTTAAAGGCAATTGCAGGTACTACATTTGCTCTATAGGACACCATTTCAATTTAGGGCTGTAGAATTACATTTTTAAGTTTCTATTTTCCGTTTTTGCTGTGTGAAAGATTAACACTTATTTACCGTTTCCCTTCTAAATATAACTAGAGAATGGTGGCAGTGATGAAGCAATTAGAACATGTCACTGTACATCCATAGGCATGAGTTCAGGGCCCCTCTTCATACTTGAACCAAAGGCAACCCAGTCATAAATGAGTATCTGGTCATTTGGGCTGGTACTTGTTCATTTGATGCTAGTCATACCTCTCTCTTGTGATTTTGGGATAGATCTTTGAACTTTCTTGACCTTCTGTGTCTGGTTAATAAAAGAGTGTACAAAAAGCTGTCAAATGTGCAGATTAAAGGAACTGAATCTATATGTATTTTAATATTTCAGACACCAACTCCAGTGCCAGATTCTTCAAGTATGTTTAACTATGCAGGGAGGTAGTCTCACTGAAGCCAGTGGGGCTATTTTCAATTGTAAAATTAAATCTCTAAATATTTTCAGTATCTGGGCCTTGGTTTTTCTTTCAACAGTAGTAGTAGTAGGGGTGCACCAATACAGATTTTCTTGGCCGATACCAACAGCTGATTATTAACTAGCGATATTGGCCAATACCGATCTGATAACTAATATTTAGTAACAAAGCTTGTTGAATGAGCTTTAGTTCAGGTGCTCCCACTGCCATTTCTAAGCATGGGGATGCTAATACGTGAAACACAGTGACACTTTAATTAGAGTGGCTGTGACAGCCACTCTAATTAAAGCACAGCACCGTCCCTCCTCTGCCCCCACTCCCAGCTGGAGAACATGGAAGAGTGCCCTGTGCCACTTACTGCCCCTGCCCTTCAGGCTCGAGCAGGGGTGGCTCTAGGAGGAAGGATTGGGGGAGGGTTATAGCCACCCCAAAATTTGCCTTACCCACCACTCTCAGTGCCATCACCATCTGCCAGCCCCATGCAGGTGAACCCGCAAAGATGCAGAGCTCCCAGCAGGGGCGGTGCCAGCCTTTTCCTGGTGTGGGGCTTGGGCCAGGGCTGGACTGGTCTCAGAGCAGGCGGGAGTGGTGCAGGCTCAATTGCGTGGGGCAGTGGTGGTGGCAGCACTGGGTGGAAGGTCTAGGGGGGGTGGGGCAAGGCAAATTTTGGGGTGGCTATGACCCCCTCAAATCCCTGGCCTGGCTGAGTCCAGCTCTGGCCTAGGGAAGAGGCGGGCTGAGGCTGCCTAGGGCTTGGTGGTCTCTGGGCACTTAGAGTGGTTCTTGGAGGTGCTCTAATTAAAGCACCACCCTCCCTACACTCCTAGAGACTCTCCACTGGGGGAGGAACCCTGCTGCACACAGTGGGGTGGGAGGTGGGTGGGAGTGGCTGCCCTGGTCCCTGGGGCACAGATCCCCAGGCACTGTGGGTTGAGTCATGCTGGGCTGGGTAGCTCCACCCACTCTCCCTGCCCCAGTGACCTTTGCTGCATTCAGCACCTTTAACAGTGCCTGACTTGGCCCCAGCCTGTACCACACCAGTGCCTGGGACCTGCGACAGCTGCTCCGCTCCAGGCTCAGCCTGCCTGCTGGTGAGTGGATGGGGGTGTATCTGGGGTCACCCGGCTCGCTGGAGGGAACCCAAGTGTCTGGGGGCCCCGGCATAATTAATTGTCGGACAATGTAATTGGCTACAGTGGCCAATAATGTTAATTTTCCTTTTATCAGTGCCAATCCAATGCAACAATATATTGGTTTGATATGTCTAATAAGTAAAAACCATTTAGATGAAAGGGAGGTTTTTTTTCTCTCTTAAAAGTTGACTGCATCTTTAAATTGCATGTTCTTTAATGATTGCCAAAATAATCTTTTAATTGTTTCTT